GTAAAGCCCCTGTGTTACGACAATAACTGCAGTTAAACTACTGCCCTCTAGTGTCAAAGCAAAACAACAATGTCAAGAGACTTATCAACAAAGACATGAAAAAATCCCTGAAACAAATGTGAATGTAGAAGCGTTGTGGTCAACAATGTCTCTGACTTGTCTTTGTGAGGATGCTGTTTTGACGTGTTCCTCATCCTCAGTGGTTGAAGTCAGCAGAAGTGACGCAGGCCGGAGGCACCTCCATCAAGATAGAAGCCTCAAACCAGTTTGTTCCTCTTTTCACCAACCCTCAGGAGGTGGTGGAGACAAGAAACAAGGTAATATGCTTCCACTGCTGCAGGATTTGTGATGTAGATCTCCGCTGTCTACATTCTGTTATGAACCAAAGAGTGAATCTCACCTTAGATCAGACAGCAGAATCGTCAGGACATGAAGACAGCAGGGCCACAGTCTCAAGTTCTGGCCAGTGTCATCACAGAGAACAGTCCTCCGGTAAACTCATGACACATTATGTCTTCATGATCTCCTCTGCATGTCCTGCATGTTTCACAGCTATGATTTGTCTTCTCCAGTCTCCAGTCAGTCCACTCAGCCTCCCCTCTGAACCAGAACCTCCAAACCCATTCAGTGATCTGACAGACCAAGCACTAGAGGAGTACAAGAAGGAGGTTCAGAGGAAGCAGGATGGAGGGACAGATGGTACAGGTAGGGTTCATTTTGTTTCCTGGGGTTCTTTTTATTCATGTCAAACGGGACAAATGGGAATTTTGAAAAAGTCAGCCAATCAATGATGTTCTGTTTCACTGTGATGTGTTTGAGCTGTCAGTCTTCAGTCTGCTTGTTGTCCTTTAAAGTTCACACCCTGAAAATATTCTTAGTTTTCTACTGTTCTCCTTAGTGTACGAGATCTTGATATCTATATCACAACATTTCAGTTTAACATCTGACTGTTGTGTGTAAAATATTTGCTTCTCTCTGTCTCACAATTCTAACCTACTCCACACATAAAGCTTCACCGTCCTTCGCCATGTTGTGTTGTATGGTTTTGTGTGTGTGTGCGTGTGTCTGTCTGTCTGTGTATTTATGCAAGAAGGGGAGGAGGAAGAAGAGGAAGAGGAGGAGCAGGAGAAGATGGTGGTGGAGGCAAATGAGAAGGTGTCTCCCCCTGTTGTCTCCCCCACAAAGGTCCTTGCTCCACCCCATCAGTCTCCTCTCTCAGGTGAGGCTTAGCAGAGCTTTTAGCATCAGCTTTGCTTGCCTGACTATGTGACCAGCAGCATCAGTAGCAACAGCAGCAGCAGCAGCATCATCCAGGGTCACTGAAATCTGTCACTCCTGTCTAATGCTTCAACATGAATGTGTTACTTCGTCATTGATTTTCAGCTGTGCTTTCTCTGATCAAACGAACTCAAACTGCCAAAGTAACACTGGGCCAGCTAGAAGCCAGCCTGATGTAAACTGATAATCTAATTGTTTAAAGAAACAATCTCATTGCCATTCATTTTAGGCTCCTAGCTCCAACACTATTGTTTCTGAAGGCCTTAGGGCTGAAATATGATTGGATAAAAAAAAACAAAAACTCCAGTATACTCGACTGTAAGCAGTGTTACCAGAGAAAAGCTGAAAGTGAAAATGAATGAAATAGAACAGGTTACTTTGTAATATTTTATGTGGCAAATATATTAATAACAATAAGTCGCTAGTTGTGTAGTAGTTGTGTTTATGACAGCAGAGAAGGCTTTGTTGGCCTAACGGTACACAACTGATTTCTTACCTTATTTCACATGCAGCATGAAGCTTTTCTGTTCCCATTGTTTTTGGCTAAAATGTGACAAGAAAGATATTTCTTATTTGATTTCTTTCTCTTCTATCTGAGCAGAGGAGGCAAACACTGACTCTCCTGCCATCCAGATTGGAGGTGAGGAGGAGAAGCAGACAACGGAGGAACTGGAGAAAGGCATGAAGGCCCTGTCCACTAATGACACATCCTCCAGCCCCGCTGCTCCCCCAGTCAAACCTCAAGGTGGCACTCCAGAGGGCTCTCCCTCCAAGTCCCCATCCAAGAAGAAAAAGAAGTTCAAGCCGCCATCGTTCCTGAAAAAGAGCAAGAAGCAGAAGGAGAAAGCTGAGGCCTAAACGTACACAGACACACACACGCATACCCAGATAAGACACTGCTGTGAAGTCAACCTGATCAGATCTCTCCATAGGTACCTGACCTATGTGTCACACTCACAGTAACTTTAACGAACTGATACTCAAATGCTTTGCTACTCAGTAGTTGTATTTTTGCTGTTAATCATCTAAAACATTTCACCCAAGTCAGATATAGTTACACAGCTTTCTAGGGAAAGCAGGAACATCCTTTGAATTCATTGAAGAGAACCTGATACTAAAAAAATTAAAACCATTTCACTTAAAAAAAATGCAAATATTTGTCGTCAACAACACACATACACAGTTGTCACCCGTCTCTTAATCCAACCTGCTGTTATCAGTGTCACACTGCATAGATGTTGACGTGCATCTGTTTTGAAGACGGCGATCAGGACTGTGACCTGTGCACTTACAGTAACGCTCGCAACTCTTTCCTTTCTCCACAAGTGTTGAGTATGTGTTGACCATGTAAAGTCTTCATGAATTATGCACCCACTTTTCTATGTATATACAATGAATTATAGGAACTTAGACATGTGTACATTGACATTGTAGTACATTGCATTTGTGGTCCATCAGATTTAATCTTCATACTTTGGTTGTAGTTTTCAAGTAGATGTTGCAGATGTGCTACGTGAGCACAGGTGCTGTATATGTGGAACAATGCTGATTGCTACTGGTTGTGCTCCTCTGAATGCTACATGGTTTAGTGAACATCTCATACATTTAGTATGTTGAACCCAAAAGAACAAAATGAAAAGAACAAAACACTGGCTCGCAACAAAACACAAGCCGCTATGAATGCCAACATTACTACTACTAAAAAAAAAAAAATTAAAACAGAATTAAAATTTTGTTGCTTGAAACTCTGTTATAAAAGATACTGAAGGTACTAGACATTCCACTTTTTCCTTGTTTTCTTTTGAATGTACACATACAAATATTACCAATGGATGAATTATTTTCTGTAGAAACCAAAAGCTGTAACAAAATTCTGGTGTGTGATGTATTACATGGTGTTTATTTCTTAATTGTTTTATGTTAGAATGTATAGCTGAGTGTTGCCTTGTTACCATGAATAACACATTAAAGATCAGGTTTGATTTTAAATACAATGGTTTGGTGGTTTATGTAATTGCGATATAGATTCCACTGACAAACATTAACGTCAACTGCTGCTTCGATTCTATAATTGACCCCTTGGTCTAAATGTTAAGATACAGACACAATAAATGATACTTTGAGAACATTTGGTCTTTGTGTTTTTGTATATTATACCATTTTTGAAAAGGGGAATTTTTCAGCTGTGACTGTAAACCATTTATAGAAAACAACTGAGACCTAATCACAATCTCAAAATACAATATGGGTTTAGGGTAGCTGTTTATCCATTATTTGAATTGCATTGAGTTTTTTTCAAGAAAGCAACGGTGGAATTTAAAAAACATTATAAAATAAACATCACTGTTAACACAGCAAACCACTAAAAACCACAAAGCAAGGAATTACCGCGAAGTTTTACCTCCCGCTCACTAGGGGCGCTTCAACATACATAGACCGGAAGTTGGTTTTGTGGCCATATTGGAAAACACTTCTGCATTGAAGGGTCCTTATAAGGCACCTAAAACGTCTGAGCTGGGAGTCTTTTTAATTCGATTAGGCTCTCACAATTTGTTTGACCCACTTCTTATCGAATTGAACTTCAGTAGTATAATTTAATATTCCGTAAACATGGGCAGGAGCAGGAGCAGAACTCCACCAAGACGAGGTAAGAAGCCTGGTAGATTGTGCCAAGCCAGCGTTGCTTTAGCCGAGCTAGAATAATTGTGTTTATTCGCCGTTAAACAAACTAGAATATAAAATTGTGTGCCTAATCATGTTTTATTTTTGCTTTTGATGCTGAACAATACCAATTGGACGTCTTAGTAGCGTATTCGTTCAATAACAGCACGCTGTGCGTAGCTAACGTTAGCCTCTCCACTCAGGACCGTTTAAAACATCGAATGTTTGAAAATAGTAATTGTCAAATTACTCCCTCCTGAAATTAAAAGGTCCATAAACATTTAATCGCAAAACACATACTTTCACATCATGTTGCAGTTCATATATAAACTGCAACATGATGTAAAAGTATGTGTTTTGCGATATATATATATATATATATATACACACACACACACACTCACACACACTCACACACACACTCACCTGCCACTATATTAGGTAC